TAACACTTTACAAAGTTCTATTTGCACAATTATTACAATTGCAATGATAAATCTCTTGGAAATCAATTTTAAACCAAAGGATTTTAAAACAAATACTTTTGAGGGCCCTAAAAATTGATTCAGCCAATGGCCCCCGAGGATGAAAATCTTGGGGACCCTTGCTACTATCACTCCTTTGACCATTTAATAAATAAGAAATTTGTATTAAATGATCAAATGATACTTTAATGAAGCTAAAATTTCAATGAGGTCAAAATAGTTATGAAATCTTTACTAAAACTTTACTTTACAATATTACCCAAAAACAAGAAAATTTCTGTTAACAAAGTGCGGAAATCGAGCATGTATTAGATGAATGCAAAACTATCCATACTCTTATCTGCTAATGAGGGTACAAGTAAGGTTTACGAACTCTATGGTAGCTCTCAGAGAGGCTAATTCTATCAACAGCTACAAAATATCAGAGTATTAACAGCGCCATGTTGCGCATGGATGGTGTATCTGTTAATGCTTTTAGAGCGCATTGTCAAGCCCACATAAGGAGCTCTATGTTATGACTAAGGGCTATTTAACAGGACTGAGAAAATTGCATAGCTCACTGATTAGGAGGCCATGCTCTATCTATGAATGAGTCCAGTTCTCTTAAATCATGCCAAAAGTAACCCAAAATATTAAACATAAAATCCCCACCACCTAACTGTTTTAATATATCTATTATTAATATTTGTGGTTTGCAAAGCAACCAACATTCAGTTGAATCTTACCTCTCACAAAATTCACCAGACTTGCTTGCTCTTAGTGAGACTAATTTAAATTTTGCTATTTCTTCTTCTGATCTCAGTATTGATGGGTACTATCCTTTGATTTGTAAAGGCTCCAATAGTCACATGCTTGGCTTGGGGGTATAAATACGACCTTCACTCGTTGATTTATGTCATATATATTATATGATTTATGTCTAAATATATTTATGGTCTCTGATTCTAGCTTCAATTTCATCCTTTTTCTGCTTTAGGTGCTTCTGACCATACAATGATTTTTTTTTAATCTTTCATTTCATACTTCATTTTCAGACTCACCCTATCATCACACTACTTTCTTTTACCCTAAAGCTGACTGGGATTCTTTTCATGATTTTCTTCATAATGATCCAATAATTTTCTTCGTAACGGTTGTAACAGGTTGATATGTTTTCAAAAAATGCGCCTCCTACGTAACCTCCTGGATTCAGACAGGAATGGAAGCTTTTATTACTTCTTGTTGGTTTCAAGTGAAACATCATTCTACTCCATGGTTTTCACTTTCTTGTGCAGATTCTATATCTAATCGTAATCATTTTTTTCATTTTTATCAAAAGAATAACTCTCTTGAGAACAAACACTTATTTATTATTGTAAGAAATCAATGTAAAAAGGTGTTGTCTAATGCTAAGCTCCATTATTCTCAGCTCACTAAATCTGATATATTATCTCAGAAGTTAGGCTCTAAAGACTTTTGGAGAATCTTCAACAGCGTTGTTAACAAAGGTAGGTCTAACATTCCATCTCTGATTCATGGGACTGATCTTATTACCTCTCACAAGGATAAGTCAGAACTATTTGCAAAGGACTTTTCCTCTAATTTGACTTACAAATCTTATGACTATTCTCTTCTATTCATTCCAACTAAATAAGTTAACCCATTGTTAGACATTTAAATCACTCCTACTTCCGTTGCTAAAGTCATATCTCAATAAAACTCTTCTACAGCTTGTTGTCCAGGCAACATTACTGTCATAGTCTTACAATATTGTCTTCCAGAACTCTAACTCTATTTAATAAGTGTTTGGCTGAGTCTTGTTTCCCTGCTTGCTGGAAAATGACATGTTGTTCCAATTTTCAAAAACAGCAGTGAACACTCTGACCCCTCCAATTATCGTCTGATCAGTTTTCTTTCTGTTAATAGCAAGGTCTTTAAGTCTTTGATAAACTAATTTCTCACATATTGAGTCAAATAACTTACTGTCAGACAATTAATACCGTTTTCGATTCTCTTACTCTACGGCTGACTTGCTAACTGCTGTGACAGAAAAATTTTATAATGCATTAGATAGAGGCAGAGAGGCTAGGGCTATTGCTCTTGACATATCTAAGACTTCCGACAAAGTTTGGCATGCTGGTCTTCTGCTTTATGCCTGAGTCATCTTCTTTATGTCTTTTCCGATTATCGTTTACTACTGACCTTTCATAGAAGCCATTTATACAATTGATTGGTAAATTAGCATCTACTGAGTAGGGTGGTCCATAAAACAACTTTTTTGAGAAAAACCTGCTGACACCCCCTAAATGTGTTTTATCTAATGCAAAAACACTAGGTTTAAAATTTTTTTGAACAAAAATTATTTTTAGGGGTAGCTCAAGGCCCTCAAAAATTTGACGGGTCCCTAATATTTTGAAAAAAAAACTTTTTCTAAAGTATGTCAACCTGGTACTCAAAAGAAGCGATATTGTATAAAAACTTCAAAAATAATAATCATTTTACATAAAAAACATGCCTAAAAAAAATTATTCTCAAAAAACCTGAAAATATTGACTTTTTTTATTTTCAGCTTAAAAACAATAGTTTTTATGCATTTATACCTAAAAAAATTATTTTTATAAAAAATTATTATCATTTTTAAATTTTTTATATAATTTTGCTTATTTTGAGTACCAGGTTGACATACTTTAAAAAAAGTTTTTTTTTCAAAATATTAGGGACCCGTCAAATTTTTGAGGGCCTTGAGCTACCCCTAAAAATAATTTTTGTTCAAAAAAATTTTAAACCTAGTGTTTTTGCATTAGATAAAACACATTTAGGGGGTGTCAGCAGGTTTTTCTCAAAAAAGTTGTTTTATGGACCACCCTACTACTGAGGTTGCTTCTCTTTATTGTGCTCGCCATTTTCTCTCTCCTGATTCCATTCTCTACCCCTACAAATCTCTTATTCGTCCCTGTATGGAATACTGTTGTCATGTTTGGGCTGGTTCTAGTGGATCTAATGATACTCTTTCTCTTCTAGACAAGGTTCAAAAACGCATTGAAAACCTAGTTGGACCCGCTCTATCTGCTAAGCTTGAGCCTCTTTCCAATTGTTGTAAAGTTGCATCTTTTTCTCTTTTCTACAAACATCCCTGCATGCTCTAAAAAATTTTATGGGTTTACTTTTTTTCCCCGCACCTCAACTTCTTAGGAACTTTCTCCCATAATGTTTTCCTGACTCATACAACATTTAACTAAATCTTGTATCTTATATCAGATGTTAGGTTCTATTCTAGAGATTTCTGGTTAGTCTTCAACAGTGTCATTAACTAAAATAAGTCTAACATTTAATCTTATTAATTATATAATATTTAATATTTTAATTTTTAAAAAGTGCTAAATAAGTGATTCCAATTTTTCCAAACTCTAAAAAACACTTTGACCTATTAAACTATCCTATCATTCTGTTATTAGTTTCTTTATATAAAGGTTTTGAGATTATTAAATTTTCTTACTAACTGCAGTAATAAAGTTATTCTTGAAGGCCTACTCTCTTCTTTAATTCAAGTAACTTTAAGGGTACCACAAAGTATCTTGCGGTACCCTTAAATCTTTGCTCCTGTATTGTTTCTTATCTACAACATCAATCTTCATGAAAATTTAACATCTAAAGTGGCTCTATTTGTTGACAACTCAATTTTATACTCTTATCTTGACAAAAAATCTTCACTTTTTGAATGCTTAGAACAAACAGTTGATTTTTAATCTGATCTCTCTTCTTTAACAGCCTAAGGCTTGCTGTGGCTTATGGATTTAAATTCTGGCCTTAAAATACATGATTTTTGTTAGACAACAAAACTTATTTACTGTAAAAAAATATTGCAATATTGTTGGCATTCCGATATTGATGAATAATAACCTTCTTACTCTCAGTCTAAAAGCACATTGTAAATGTAACGCGGTGGTGTAGTGGTGCACTCGCATCAAGCAAGAGGTACCGAGTTCGATCTCCACCATGTTCTTGGTAGTGCAGCACTTAACTTGTTTCTCTGCACAGCGAACTTGGTTGTCAAGGTTCGTGTTTCCGAGTTATAACCACAATTAAGTAGCCTTCTTGTCTGTAGTGGCGTTTTCAGCCTTGGGAGGTAAATTTACACAAAATAATAATAATAATAATAATAATAATAATAAATTAGACCTGCTTTATCTGCCAAGCTTGAGCCACTCTTCCATTGTTGTAAGGTTACATTTCTTTCTTTTTTTCTACAAATATAATCATGGTCAATGCTCATCATCTCTATTACGATAAAGTAAAACTCATTCTTGCTTGTTTCTTATTCAACTAGTTACTGTATCTGTCCCTTCATGCTATAAAACTTTTATTAATCCAGTTTTTTTCTTTGAACATCAAAAAAATCTTATAACTATTAGCCATCTTCATGTTTTTCTTTTATATACAACCTAAAACTTTTCAAGTCTTCTGTTAACCATTTCCTAGTATTTTTATTTATTCTCTAGTTTAAAGTAACTCATAACTTAATAGTGGTTGCTTTCAATCTTGTTATTAGTAAATTAGAGTTTGAATATATATATATATATATATATATATATATATATATATATATATATATATATATATATATATATATATATATATATATATATAAAGTAAAAATGAGGTTGGCAATTTTTTTTTCGACTTTAAATTATTAGAGCTCAGCATCAGGTAAGCAAAAAACTTTTCACACAAAGATTTTACCATAAACATAGAAGCAAGTGATATACATACATGATCATTACTGTTAACAAGTAACAAGTTTACAGTAAATTTACAAAAAAATAAGATATGCAATATATCAAGCACTGTTACTACTTCGTAATTTTACAGATAAATTACAAGAATTAAAAACTATAGTATTTGCAATAACATTATTTTTGTCATATTGCATATTCACATTTAAACAAATTTCAAACAGCTTAAAATCCTACAAAATAATTTACCTGTCCAGGCCACAAAAGATATGAATTGAGATGATTCAACCTGGAGAGCTCTGATGGAGTAGTGTTATATCGTAAAGAAATACTTGCTAGGGTATCAGTGGTTTTTACCTTTAATGAAAACAATAATCTGTAAAGTTAAAAACTAATAAAATTTCATTAACAAAAATGCAATTTAGATTTTTTGGTATATTTTACTCTTTTTTTTACTATATACCATATAATATAGTAACCTCGTATAATTAATATATTTTTTAAATACTCACAATATATTCAACTGTTCCTGGAGGTTGTGCAACTTTCATTTTTACAGATTTATTAAGTTGAACATCTGATTGTAAAAAAAAAGTTGTGTAATTGAAGAAATCAATAAATTTTGTTTTATTTACAACAAAAATTCGATGATAATATAAGAATAAGAAAATTAAAAAAAGAAATTGTACACATTATTTCAATCCAACCCTCAAATCGATCAAACAAAACAGTCTAAAAGTTCTCTAACTTGATTTCTCAATATAACTATTGCTTTTAAAACTGTTTACATATAGTCTTACGTTGCATGATTTTATATAAATAGAAATGTGTATACAAGTAGCGCATTTAGAACTTAAAAGATATTAATGTGGTAACAAACTAAGCTTTCTGGCTATTGACAAATATTAATCATAAAACATTTAACTTAACATTTAGAAAAACTCACAATTTACCGCATTTCCGTTAGCGTTGAACTTAGGAATCGGCGTTTGACAAATTTGTAAATCTCAAGTTTACTTTAAGTAAACAAATTAATGGAACAGTTACACTGTAACATTAATGGAGTTGCCGAAAATTATAAATCGGTGTGATAATATTTACCATGAGAGAAAAGGTTTCTCATACTTTTGAATACTTTAATAGACTGTTTATTATTTTTATGACCGGACGAAATCTATTTAACGCATGGGAACTGTGGTTTGATCGTTTGACCTCAGATGCTTAAGCCTTAAGTTTAAATCTTGCTAAATAGCGCTATACCAGGGCCCTTGACACTGATTTCAAAGTGAAGAGGCACAATCGTCAATTTCTAAAAAGTGTCCTCGGCTCTGTATACAAAAAGTTGTGGCAGTTTTGGTGTTTATTTGGGTATGCAGACACAAACCATCCGATAACTAGAGGTGTACCGGATATTCTTGCCGGATATTAAACTTTTCTCAAGTTCTATAAGTGTTTATAAAGTAAAAACAAGTTTTGCCATTCTACACTAAACAGTGTTCAAGATTTAAAAAAAAAAATCAATAAAAAACTGGTATAACACAGGTATATGCGTTAATAATGTATAAAGAAAAATTGTTTTTTCTAGCCAAATTTTTGTTTTCTTTAGTTACTATTTTCTATACTTCGTCAGCACATATACCATGTCATACAGTTTTTCAATAACTTTTTAAAGTAAGATCTTGAATACTATTTATTTTAAACTGGCAAAAAAAAAATTTCTTTATAAACACTTATAGAACCTTAGAAAAGTTCACTATCCGGCATATCCGGCAAAAATATATCCGGTACATCTCTACCGATAACCACTAAATTACCTAGTACTAATAGGAGAAACCCCAACAGAGTCCCGTTCGCCGCAATCACCACTACCTATCAGCAATCTTTTATTCAAAAATCCCTACGTATTCTCCGTAATGGTGTCAATGACCTCTACCTCCCACGAAACATTGGCAGCTCTGCTACTTTTTCAACACATGAATGATTAGTTTTTTTTTGCGTTCTTTACTCATATTTAACAATAGATAAAATTGTGCAATTCATTATTTGTAATACTAATCGATTTTAAATATAGATCTATTTAAAAAAAAATGCTTATATCAAATAAGGTTGCTTTGCAAAAAAATTGCAGTAATTATAATTTAGAAACAATGAAAACTCTAAAGCATTTCCTTTTAAGTAAGTGCCGTTTGTTTGATTGTGCAAGGTTTTATTAGATTATTTTTTCACTAGGTTAATAACCTATTATTGAAAAAACACTTAAAATAAAAATAAAGTAAAATAAAGTTTTTTTTGATATTTGAGTTTCAACCATTTCCTTTTCACGCCACCTTCCTTACCGTTACGCGAAAATATGTCGTTTCGAACCTGGATCTCCTGCTTATTAAGCAAGCGCTCTAACCACTGCACCACGGCCGTCTTGTTTAAAATTAACTTGTTATATTTTCTACGAGTAAAAAGAATGGAATACATTGTGGGATTTAATTTTTGAAAATTTAGGAAATGTATATAAAATATCCTTGAAATGTATAAAAAATATCCTGCTTAACCGGAATTAAAAAAAAAATCGAGATCTCTCCTGTCTTATAAAACCCAACATCGTGTTAATACAAAATGTTGAGTCTTTCACCCCAATTTTTTTTGTGAATGCACATGTTTAAATAAGGAATCGTGTTCAAATAAGGAATTTAAATAAAAAAATTCCTTATTTGAACATGAAAAATTCCTTATTTGAACACTTGCAAAAATTTACTCCGGTTAGACTAAATAGTTTTGTAGTAAAAGTAGGTGCTACAATTTTATGTTTAAATTGTTCAACATGTACCAACATCCTCTAGCTGATAGAAAAAAAAATTCAACGCTCTTTTAAAATTAAACTATACCATATGAAAAATTTATCATAACAGTATATAAAATGTTTTCTTTTTTAGTAATTTTAATTACAAAAATTTTACAACTGCTATGTTTGATTGTAAATGGCAAAATAATAAACGTTTAAAAATGAAAATTTTACGTTAATTGATAGCTATATCAAGTAAAACATCTGACAAGGACGCGGAGCCCCAAGAAGACTCCGACTTTAAACCTCTATTTTTTCCTGGTCTCTATTGTTCAAGAGCTTAAAAAATGTTGGTTGACTTGTGACCTGCAATAAGAAAAAAAATCATGAAATTTAATTATTTGGAACTTAGTTTTTAGCCTGGAGCTCTATGCATAAGAAATGCAGGTTTAAAAATAGGTTGCTCTTCTAAGTCTTAATTTTTTTTCCTAAAAGTAGTTCAAAAACTTCTTTACTTTTTTCGGAGGTACTGGATACCAAAAACTAAAAAGAAATTAAATTTTTGTGATTTTCAAATTTAAAATCCTTAAAAAAGTTTTAAGTAGTTTATTTGGGTCAGGGCAATAACATCCGTTTTTGCCATGTATAATAACATCCGTGAAACAACATCCGAAATTTTATCGATGTATAATAACATCCGTGCAATAACATCCCAAATTTCATTGATGTATAATAACATCTGCAAATATTACTCCAATATTCAAGAATGGAAATAAAACAGACCAGCTTAACTACAGACCCGTATCATTAACATCTATACCATGCAAAGTTATGGAAGCATTCATAAAAGAAGCGATAGTGACTCATCTGATGGAAAATAAATTGCTATCAAAAAATCAACATGGCTTCGTAAAAAATAAAGCCTGTGTAACAAATTTGCTAGAAACATTAGACATTTTAACAGCAAGCATGAGTGACAGTTTAGCGGTAGATATGATTTATATGGATTTTGCCAAAGCCTTTGATAAGGTTCCACATAAAAGACTGTTGAAAAAGTGTGAAGCATATGGTATCAAGGGTGTAATAAATGACTAGATATCGTCTTTTTTTAAAGAAAGAAGGCAAAGAGTTGTGATGGGTGTAGACGTGTCTCCATGGCTTGAGATTTTTAGTGGTGTGCCTCAAGGCTCTGTGCTTGGTCCTTTGTTATTCTTGATATTTGTAAACGATCTACCATCAATTATCAATTCCAATTGCAAATTATATGCAGATGACAGTAAACTTATCAAAGTTATAAAAAATGTTGAAGATCATGAGTCTTTGCAGAATGACATAAACGAATTTGTAAAATGGACGGATATCTGGTTGACAAAGTTGAACATTGAAAAGTGCAAGGTGATGCATTTAGGTAAAAAGAATCCACGAATGAGTTATTGTATGACCCACGACGGCAAAGAGTATAAATTAAAAACAACACTAAGTGAAAGAGATTTAGAAGTGATTATTTCATCCGACCTTAAATGGCATGATCAAGTGACTTCAGCGACAGCAAAAGCACAAAGAACTTAGGGTCTAATTAAACGTACCTTTACATAATTCGATGTGGAAATGATGAAATCACTATATACGACATTTGTGAGACCTTTTCTTGAGTTCGCTATACCTGCATGGCAGCCTTATTTACAACGGGATATTGATGAGTTCGAGAAAGTGAAAATAAGAGCAACGAAGTTAGTTCCACAACTTAAAAAGATTTCATATGAAAAAAGACTGAAAGCAATGGGTTTAACAACATTAGAGAAAAGACGAGCTAGAGGAGATCTTATACAACAATACAGATTCAAGCAAAATATAGACCAAATAAATTGGTACAAAATCCAAAACCGGCATCATCCATGACTAGTTCAGGCCCGGCTTTTTCTGTAAGGGGCAATAAATACAGGCTAGAAAGAGAATACGTACCATCATGTTTACCGAGATATAATTTCTTTACCAATCGAGTTTGTGAAAATTGGAATTTGTTACCAAATGAAATCATTGAAGCAACATCGGTGAATGTTTTCAAAACGCGAATAGATAAACATTTTTCAAAACTTGTGTTTTTTAATTTGTGTTGGCTGTCTATAACCCGATGCTTGCATCGCGTTCCACAATTTATTTTATTTTTAAATATTTATATTTAAACAAATTTGTAATCGTTACAGCAATAAATATTACTATTACTATAACTACATCCGAATTTTTTTTTTTTTTTTAATGCATAATTTTAACCAGATGTAGTTACGCATCTGATTTTTTTCGGATGTAACTACATCCGCCAAAAAAAATTATTGTAATGCATTATTTTAAGCATAATAAATTTTATTTTATAATTATTTGATAGACTGCCAGCCCAAACCTAACCTCAGTCGATGTAGCAGCACTCCGTTGCGAGTCAGGCTGTTTGTCAGTCGATGTAGCAGCACTTATATAATACAATAATTATATATGTAACTTATAAATGTAACTACATCCGGAATTTTTTTTTGTAATAATGCATTATTTTAACCAGATGTAGTTACACATCTGATTTTTTTCGGATGTAACTACGTCCGAAAATTTATTTTATTTAATAATGCATTATTTTCGGCGGATGAAGTTTCACATCGAGAAAAACTCTCGGATGTAGTTACATCTTTGTAAAGATGTTATTAGACATCAATGAAATTTCGGATGTTGTTGCACAGATGATTATTCAGTAAAGAAAAAAAGCGGATGATTTTACACAAAAATGTGCGGATGTTATTTCACTACTCCACGGATGTTGTTGGACAGATGTAGTAATCTTTTCCCGTTAATTTTAGTATCACAGAGCACCGCGGAATAGCATTTGAAAGGATGTTCACGCTTCTTTCCTTACCGATGTAATAGAATCTGCCCAGAGGCGTTGAACCACGAATAATATTACGTTGAGTTACACATGAGAAATGCTCACAGTAATTTTTTTTTTCCTAGCAAAAAAGCTGCTTATATCATCTTCAAAATAAAAAAGCTGTTTATAATATCATACAGTTATTATAATAAATACAGTTAATATAAAATTCTTCTAACAAACAGCAGTCCAATAAATACGAACAAAATTGAAACTTATATCACATTTATTAAGACTCAACCGTGTCAATATAGGTATACCTAATTTGATACAACCTAATCAGACGCATAGATAGTTAATATAAAAATTCACATAATTATTGATAAATAAAAACTAATTAGATATTGTACTTAAGGAAGTATAAAAACTTGCTAAAGTCAACTACCATTATTTTTTGGTATGATATGCTGTAATAATTAAATAATAATTGAATGAAAATTTATATATTTATTTGATATTTTTGTTTGATTTTAACAATATTTAAGATAATCGTAACATAAAACAAACAAAACACATAACGTGAATTATGTCTGTACTCTAAATTATAGCCAAGATCATGCGCTGAAATTAAAGTAAACGATTGCCGAAAAAAAGAAGAAAGTTCTTGCACAATATTATTTATACTAAATATTTTTGACAATTTAGTGAACATTTAAAATGATACAAACAATAATACATATAAAAACAAAACAATCACCCTTGAAATAAAATTTATCTAAAATTTGATATAGTAAAATCTTGTAAAAAGCACAACTTCATAATTTTATGAAATCGTAATTCTTATAAAATATAAAATAAATACAGCTTAAAACCCTAGAAAAGAATTTAAATTAATGAAACTATTTTTTTACTATTCCCATAAAATTAAAATTTTTTACATCTCCCGCCAATTTTAATCGCATTTCTTCTTACTGGCGACAACAATTAATGAAATCAACAAAATCAAACAAAGCAAACACAAACCGACGATCAACGCTTTCCATTTAAATGGTAATTGAAAGCGTACTAAATAATATTTAAAAAGTATAAACACAATTATACAAACTATAAAAAATATAAACTTAATTAAAAAAAACTAATAAAATGTATTACAAACATAATTATCATAATTAAACCTGTAGAAATTAAAAGAGATTAATGCTAAAAAATGATTAAAAAAAAAAACTATTGTTGTGATTTGTATTTTATTAAGGTCTAACATATTTTATTAAGGTCTAACAGATTTTATAAAAAATTATTTAAAGTTCTTAATGTCTTATTGTCCACGTCCTTATATCTACTTGTTATTGTCCACTTACGTCCTTATATCTACTTGTTATTTTCCACTTACGTCCTTATATCTACTTGTTATTGTCCACTTACGTCCTTATATCTACTTGTTATTGTCCACTTACGTCCTTATATCTACTTGTTATTGTCCACTTACGTCCTTATATCTACTTGTTATTGTCCACTTACGTCCTTATATCTTTTTGTTATTGTCCACTTACGTCCTTATATCTACTTGTGAAATGATATGTAGAAAAAAACAGGCAGGACAACAAAAGATTGCACTGTTAATGTACAAACATGGGTATTGTAGTGCCCACACAGTTTATTTTTTCCCTAATTTAACTAATTCTTACAAGAAAATGACCATATAATCAACTATTAACTATATCTTGGGGAAGGATAATCGAGTCAGGATAATCGAGATCAATCTTGCTACTGGTATCACATAACCCAGTACCACCTGCCACAAGCCCTGCTGCCTTGCAGAGTGTGCTCTTCTTATGCAAAGGCTAGAAGAAATAAACTCCGACTAAAAATTCCCCTGCCTTGGGGCTCTTGGTTGAGTAAAGGCTAGAGATGGTGTCTCGATAAAAATACTCATCTTGGGCAGATGTTAACTGCATCCTGCTACTGTCTTGTAGAAGGCCTCCTAGGCAAAGACTTTAGGGGTAAGCAAAAAAATTCTGCTAACCAGCCTCGAACCCCTTCTTCATCTATTAGGCTGGCGTAGATGTAACCTGTGTTACATTGTTTCCTGCCTAGGATGATGAATGCTGGATCTCCTTGACTCTACTCATAGAATTTTGCTTATGCCTCCTTGATAATGGCTATGCAACTCTTCCTGTTATCTCCATATGAGGGTACAGCTCTAAAACTCAGTTTAATGGTTCTGAGGCCGGCTGGTAGTAAGGTTTCCCGAACTCTGTGGTAGTTCTCAGAGAGGCTGATTCCATCAACAGCTGCAAAATATCAGAGTATTAACAGTGCCATGTTGCGCATGGATGGTGTCCCTGTTAATGCTTTTGGTGTGCGTTGTCAAGGCCACATAAGGAGCCCTATGTCACGGCTTAGGGTTAATTAACAGGACTGAGACAACTGCATAGCTCATTGATTAGGAGGCTGTGCTCTATCTATGAATGAGTCTAGTTCTCATTAAACCCAAATCATGACCAAAGTAACCAAAAATTTAAAACCTAAAAAACCATCCCCACCACCTAAATATTTTAATATCTTTTACAAATATTCGTGGTCTACGAAGCAACTTTCCATCAGTTGAGTCTTACCTCCTGCAAAATTCACCAGACTTGCTTGCACTCAGTGAAACAAATTTAAGTTCTGAAATTCCTTCTTCAGATGTCAGTGTTGATGGGTACTATCCTTTGATTCGTAAAGACTCCAATAGTCACATGCTAGGTTTAGGGGTATACATACGCATTAATTCCCCTATTTGTCGTGAAATCAGGTTCGAATCCTTTGACCATTCTTTTATGTGTTTTCGCCTAGCACCTCTTCACTCTATCACCTTTCTCTTTGTTCTTTATCGTTCTCCTTCTTCCCATGATTGCACTCTTTTAGATGTTATCTCTGATCAAATTGACCATGCCATCTCTCTATTTACCCCTCTGCCAATATTGTTGTTGTTGGTGATTTTAATGCCCATCACACTGAATGGCTTGGCTCTAACACCACTGATCCTGCTGGCACTAAAGAGTTTAACTTCTGCGTTTCTCAATCTCTTACTCAGATAGTTAACTTTGTGACTCATTTTCCTGACAACCCTAGTCATTTACCTTCACTCCTTGACTTATGTCTTGTCTCTGACCCTAGCTTATGTTCAGTTTCTCCATTTTCTCCCTTAGGTGGTTCTGACCATGCAATGATCTCTATAAATCTTTCTTCTCGTGCTTCTTTTTTGGGCTCACCTTATCATCGCACCACCTACTACTACCCTTTAGCTGACTGGGATTCCTTTCGTGATTTTCTTCGTGATGGTCCTTGGGCTGATGTTTTTTCTCTCTCAGCTGACAAATGCGTCTCCTACGTAACCTCCTGGATTCAGGCTGGAATGGAAGCTTTTATTCCTTCTCGTCGGTTTCAAGTCAAGCCTCATTCTACTCCATGGTTTTCTCCTTCTTGTGCGGCTGCTATATCCAATCGTAATCATTTTTTTAATCTTTTTCAAAAGAACAACTCTCTTGAGAACAAACGGCTATTTATTATTGCAAGAAATCGATGTAAAAAGGTGCTTTCTGATGCTAAACTCCATTATTCTCAGTTCACTAAATCTCGCATCTTATCGCAGAAGTTAGGCTCTAAAGACTTTTGGAAAATCTTCAACAGCATTGTTAACAAGGGTAGATCTAACATTCCATCTCTCATTCATGGGACTGATCATGTTACCTTTCCCAAGGATAAGGCAGAACTATTTGCAAAGAACTTTTCTTCTAATTCCACTATTGAATCTTATGGACATTCTCTTCCTTCCATTCCAGTCAAACAGGTTGACCCATTGTTAGACATTCAAATCACTCCGGCTTCTGTTGCTAAAGTCATATCTCAATTAAACTCGTCTACAGCTTGCGGTCCAGGCAACATTCCTGTCACAGTCTTACAGAATTGTTCTCCAGAACTTTCTTCAATTATCTCTAAACTATTTAACAAGTGTTTGACTGAGTCTTGTTTTCCTGCTTGTTGGCAAATGGCATCTGTGGTTCCAATATTCAAAAACTCTGGAGAAAATTCTGACCCCTCCAATTATCGTTCGATCAGTCTTCTTTCTGTTATTGGCAAGGTCTTTGAGTCTTTGATCAACAAATTCCTCACATCTCATCTTGAGTCAAATAAACTGCTGTCAGACAATCAATACGGTTTTCGATCCTCTCGCTCTACGGCCGACTTGCTAACTGCTGTAACTGAAAGATTTTATCGTGCATTAGATGGAGGCGGTGAGGCTAGGGCTATTGCTCTCGACATATCTAAAGCTTTCGACAAAGTTTGGCATGCTGGTCTTCTCCATAAGCTTGCTTCATATGGTGTTTCTGGGAAAGTTTTTGAGATTATCAAATTATTTCTTTCTAACCGGTTTATTAAAGTCATACTTGAAGGCCAACACTCTTCTTTATTTCCAGTAACTTCTGGGGTTCCCCAAGGTTCCATCCTGGGCCCTGTTTTGTTTCTTATCTACATAAATGATCTTCCTGACAACCTTTCATCTAAAGTAGCACTTTTTGCTGATGACTCAACTTTATACTCATGTCTTGACAAAAAGTCTTCTCTTTTCGATCGCCTAGAACAAGCAGCTGATCTTGAATCTGATCTCACTTCAGTAATAGATTGGGGTTCACAGTGGCTCGTGAATTTCAACTCTAAAAAAAACCAATTGCTTACTGCAAACAACTACCAAAATATGGTCAACATTCCTATATTAATGAATGGCAATCCTCTTACTGAGTCCTCCTCTTTACGTCTTCTTGGATTATCGCTTACTACTGACCTTTCATGGAAACCATATATACAATCGATTGCTAAATTAGCTTCTGCTAAGGTTGCTTCTCTTTATCGTGCTCGCCATTTCCTTACTTCTGATTCCATTCTCTACCTCTACAAACCTCTTATTCGTCCCTGTATGGAATACTGTTGTCATATTTGGGCTGGTTCTTCTAACAATTCACTTTCTCTTCTTGACAAGGTCCAAAAACGCATTGTAAATGTTGTTGGACCTGGACTATCTGCTAAGCTTGAACCTCTTTCCCACCGTCGTAAAGTTGCATCTCTTTCTCTTTTCTACAGATACTATCATGGTCACTGCTTAAAGGAGTTATCATCTCTAGTTCCATCAACTAAAATTCATTCTTGTTTTACTCGTCATTTAGCTAAGTCTCATTCGTTTACTGCATCTGTCCCTGCATGCTCTAAAAACTTTTATTCATCTAGTTTTTTTCCCCGCACTTCAATCCTTTGGAACTCTCTCCCATCTTCATGTTTTCCTGACTCATACAACCTTCAACTTTTCAAGTCTTCTGTCAACCGTTTCCTTGCTCTATAACTCTGTTCTTTTTTTTCCTAGTAACTCCCAACTTAATAGTGGTTGCTTGCAGCCTTTTTGGGAGTGAATGCAAATAAAAAAAAAAAAAAAAAAAGTAGATAAAGTCAATCATATTTTTATCCCTCAGCATCTCACTTGAATTTTGTTTATGAGCAAGTATTTTGATTTGATAGTAGTTGCCATTCAAACTACAATTCATTCATCTACAATTGACATCATAAAATTAATACTTGACATTGTTAGGTGTTCTTTAGTGTCAAAGATTTGTGCATTATTTAAATGTACATCTCTACACCCATATACACTTTAGTTCAAAAGCATTATATTTGACTTTATAACTAAATTACCCTTTCTGTTATGAAGCTCAGTAAAACCTCTTTTAAAAGCAGTAAATAGTGAGATTTAAAGATTCTTTTTACCATCTAAGGATCAATAGACCTTTTCTATAAAATAATGAACTCTTGTTTTTTTATCTTTGTTTCTATACATTTTATTGATAAGCTTTTACTGTTAACTCTGACTGTTGACGGTTGTGGCTGCAATCTGACGTGCATGTAGATCCAATAGCAGTTGTGGAGAGATGAATCAGTTATTAATTCCTAAGCGAAGACCAAAATAGAGAAAATAAGCTTCACTCGAAACACAAAAACCAAACTGCACGTCATGTCATGGCTGCTTCAGTCTTTGTAAACCTCAATCTGACACAAGCAGACATTTATGCTGTCTGAGAAACACCATAATTTAATCACAAATCAAAAATGACATTTGTTAGGCATATATTGGTGCAAGTGAAGTGTTTTCCTTTGTAGCTTTTCATTTAAGAATTCTACCTTGAAAACAATTAATTTATTCACATACTCATAATGAGGCCCATTTTTATCTCAATGGTTAAATGAATAAGCAAACTTGTAAAATATAGGGATCCAAAAGAATAAGGACCAGCATTTGTCAAAAGAAATATTTTGTTTTGCTAGAGATTTTAAGAAATAAACAACAAACTTCAAATAATTTGTAAACAATTAAAAAAAAATTTTGTTGTGGAAATCTATTTATAAAGCTGAATTTTTTCAGCTTTTTGTTGAAACCTTTCAAATGTTTTTGAAAACTATGTTATTTTTTAAAAAAACTCATGGTCTTTAATAAAAACTTTTTTCAAAAAATTCCTTATTTTTACAATAAAAACTGATAAAAAAACAATTAAATTAAAATATTTTAAACTAAATTAAAATATTTCTAATGAGTTAAATTTATGTTAAAGTCATCTGCTAAGTAAACTTGTTTATGTGTGGTGTTTTTTTAATAACATTAAAAATATTTTAAACATAACACGGAAGTAAAAAATGTTTCTTTTTTTACTTCCATTTTATGTTTAGACCAGCATGCCAAAACTCCATCAAAAGCTTTAGAAATATCAAGAGCAATAGCCTTAACTTATCCACCTCTATCTATTGCACAATAAAACCTATTAGGTATTACTGTTAGAAAATCAGCTGTAGAACAAGAAGAGCGAAATCCATATTGATGATCAGAAAGTAAGTTAATAGATTCAAGATAAGAGATGAAGTGTTTGTTATTAAAGATTCAAAAAATTTGCTTATGAAAGGAAGAAGACTAATGGGATATATAAAGCCTTCTAAGGAGATGCCTGCGCTTGCATACCTTTTATGACCATGCATACATTTTTTTTTGACTATTTGGCCACAGTTTTTTGCATATATCATTTGCATGTTTAAAAAAATGTGCTGAAAAAACCAAACTAATTTAAATATAAAATAAAAAATTAATAAACCAAAAGAAAAACAACAAAAAGAGAAACAAACTTAACAAATGTTAAAATAAATAAAGGATAAACCAGAGAAAAAAAAAGCATAAAGCTATTAAAAATAATTTTTTTAATTTAGAAGCATCTTAATTATTAGCTCACACTTAATTTAACTTATAAGCATTTTAATTGATAGTTTAAAGCCAATGATTTTTTGCAAATCACTACATTGATGTAGTGTATAGGCTGAATAATTTATGACGCTCAATTGTTATTTTGGCATTAGATGAGAGTCCAGTCCTACTAATGGATAATTTATTTTTTTTAACATTTTATTTGCTTTGTAGACATTAGAAAATATCAAAGTTTTAAATTTTTAAATAAATAAGTATCAAAGTATTTAAGTTTGAATTTAACTTTAAAACTTCAATTTTTCTAAATTCTTAGCAATGAATCACTTTTAAATTAAAATAAAAACATATCAATTTTATGCTTCAATTTTTTTATTTATTTATTTTATTATTTTTTCCAGTTTACATTTTGTTTATTCAGCACATTTTTTAAACGCATCAACTTGAAACATACAAGAAACCGTGGCCAAGATGCCAAAACAAAATATTAAATGCGTGGTCAAATAATGTGTATGACTTTACAGTCCTCCTGAGAAGGCTTGATACATATACGTGTATATAGATATATATATATACAGGGTCGTCCCGAATGTCCCAAGTAGGGGGTGTCCCACCTCACACACGCACACACACACACACACACCAAAGCTGTTATATACACATTTGAGTTGGCAAGTTTTTAAGTATAGTTAGCAAATGCCAAATATCGAGGACCTTTTTTTTGTGTGTGTCTCCATTTGGCAAAAAACATTTACGACATGAGAGACCTCTTCGGGATGACCCTGTATATATATATATATATATATATATATATATATATATATATATATATATATATATATATATATATATATATATATATATATATATATATATATATATATATATATATATATATATATGTATACATAAATATATATACATACATAAATATATATATATATATATATATATATATATATATACATATATAAATATATATATATATATATATATATATATATATATATATATATATATATATATATACATATATTGCATGTACACTTAAAATAAGCTAGCCTTTATACAAAATATAATAAGTGAATAAAAATAAGTCAAACCTGTAACAATAGAATCAGATGTGGAGTACAATAACATAAGTTATTGTAGTATGACAGCTATTTTTAGCTAATGAAGAATTATTGTTTTTTTATAATATTTATTTATAATAATGTCTACATAGTTATAATAATAATGTCTACGTAGTTCTTGAATTCATCAATTAAGTCACTTCTATGATTTTGCTTGTCATACTATTCCATTCATTAATTACTTTATTGTGGAAAAAGTATCTATACCTGCATTTATAAAAAGATTTATAGTAAATGTATTTGTGCTGACATATTTGAACCTTATATTTTTGTGAATCCAGTTTCAGATAGGGAGACTAAACTTCTACAGCGTACTCAAGATGTGGACTTTTAAACTTTTATATTTTTTTTATATCTAAGTATTTGAAAGTTTGATAAAATAAACCAAGGACTGAATTTGCTTTACAAGTTACTGTATTAATGTGTGAATCCCACTTTAGATCTGATTGAATAATGACAACAAGATCACATTCAAAATCAGTTAGTTTTAAAATGTGATAAAGATTATTATCAGAACCATGCATTACATAAGTAGTTCAAGGATTATTTTTGCCGATTACATATTGGCAAAAATTAAAAAATTTGCATTATAGTTGAGTTTTGTTAACCAGATTGACCAGATTAACCAGATTGACAACCACTCCATTAAATTTATATCTGATGACTACTCCAAGTAAATTTATATCTGCTTGCAGTTTTAATGGATCATCTGTCGTTTTTATAATGTTTAATGTTTTACTTTCATCTGGAAATGACTTCATATAGTTTCGGACATTATCAGGTACGTCATTAATAAAGATTAAGAATAAAAGTGGCCCCATTTTTAGACATTTGCAACATGATTCATGTGGAACATGACTACAAACTTTTTCTTTTTAACTGCAAAAACAAAAATGTTATCACACCTTTAAACTTTTTCCACAACTAAGTCAATCATCAACAAATTAAGCCAGATACTGAGCAACTTTGCCACTCCAAAAACTACCTGAACATTTTGTTCTAAAATCCTCGAAGCAAACTATTGTTTATTTTTTTATATTAAAAAGATTCCTAATTTCTTTAAGAAAGTTAAAACTTTAGTCAAAATTAAAGCATTACACCTTTACAGAGTTATTATTGAAGAGTTTATTATTGTCAAGATAGAGCAAGGTCATCTAGGTGTCAACAGAATGACTACATTTGATCATTTTTGGAACCAACTGTTTTCAGAATATGACATGAAATCTGTGACAAGCAAACTGTCGAATAATATAATATATATCATAGACAAATTTACTCCATTCCCATTAGTTTACCAAAAGGTAAAGAAATAAAAAGTTAAAAATGCATTCTTGTTTCTTTATCTAAATTTATAACAATTATTTTAATTGAAAACAAAAGACACTCAAACAAACATTCAACCCAATTAAAATCAAAGCAAAAACAAATAGGTCAGCAAAAAACAAAGTCAGCAAATAACTTATCTGAAATAAGTTAAATAGATAAAAAAATTTTAAATTTACTAATTTTTTTTTTTTTAATACAATTTTTTAAAATTTTAGTTAAAAATAAAAAATTAGTATTTTATTTTATTTTTAGCTAAAAAATTTTTAAAAACTTTGAAAAAATAAAATAATATTCAGGAAGGAAAACTTTCAATAATGGCAAAAAAACAAAAAACTTTCAGAATAATGATATTTGATAAAAAAAAAAAAAAAAATAAAAAATGCTTAAAAATGATGACAATAGAACAATGAATACAAGCTTAGTGTCTTTGAGTTGGCTATAAAGTATTGAGCATTGTATCTTTGCTTCTGGTTTTAAATTGTTCAAATTAAATATAATGAACACAAATTAATGTTTATATTTCCTGTTGTTTCTACAGGCACCTACCTGTTGTTTCGACAACTCCGTCTTCATTTGATGTAAGATTATCAGTTGCAGTTGGCTGGTAAACATCATTTTTCATTTTCAATTCAGAATCAATTTAATGTGGTAGTTGAGGCTTTTCTATATAAACTAACAAACCAATTTATATATATAATATATATGTGTTTGTATATATATGTGTGTGTATATATATATATATATATATATATATATATATATATATATACATATATATATATATATATATATATATATATATATATATATATATATATATATATATATATATATATATATGTATATATATATATATATATGTGTGTGTCTATATATATATATATATATATATATATATATATATATATATATATATATATATATATATATATATATATATATATATATATATATATATATATATATATATATATACAAATACACTATTTTAAATAATAAAAAAATCTGCATTATTTTTTCAAAGTTCATCTTTGAAAAAGCTTATGCTCAAACAACTCTTATCACAGATAAAATTTTTCTTCACAAAAAGCCTTTAATTTTTGATAATATTAAAAATTAAAGGCTTTTTGCAAACAAAATATTTTATATAATACTTTTATACTATATTATTATTTCATTTTATCAATGGCATTCTTTTAAATTTTTTCTCTTAATTAACTTATAAAGAAATAATAATAAAAATTGTAAGGAATTTTTTAAAAATAAATACTACATCGTTATACAATACTATTAGCCTATAGTCATAAAAGAATTGATTCTTATGACTATATCATCAGTCATAACATTTTATTATACGGCGATAAAAACCCTTAATAACGTTTTAAAACGAAAGAGAAAATTATTATTGTGAAAGCATTAAGATTTTAATTACTCAATTAAGACATGTGTTTTAGTTGCTAACTAAAATACATACAAACAGTTATTATTTGGTAAATAATAAATATCTTGTTGACAATATGATGCTTATTGAACAAAAGTTGTATAGTAATATTATGTGTTCGCTTTATGTTACTTATTTCCTAATAATTATAAATTAGTAACGTGTAGTACAGGAAGAATATTTAGGATTTTCATAAACAAATGTAAACGTGCAATCAAATGAAACAAAGCACAACCGTCGCGACTCGCTATCGCAAAGCTTTTATCTGCGAATAAAAGCATATTGAAGACCCGAAAAGCGTAACTGACTTGTTTTCAAGCTTTTCACCCAATTTTTTGCTAACAAAATGGCTTTATGTTTAATTTTTTGGCGTGTCATCTTTATGCGTTAGCACAAAAAATAAAGTTCTTCTAGATAGTGATTACTAGTATAAGTATTTGAGTAAAATATTTTTTTATTTGGAAGTTCACGCTTTCTTCCTGAACTGGCTTATCAATGTCGCTTATTGAAACGGCGTCAAACCTCGAACCTCTCGGAACTCATACAACTTTTACAATGCCTTGGCCGCTTTTTTTAATTCTTTTTTTGATAATTAAAAGTAACCCTACCTTTTATTGTAATAAAAGTTTTTTTAGTTAAAGCTCCAGTAAAATAAAGTAAGATAGATAAAAGTAAAAATGTCAAAAATTGGAAAAAAAAAAAAAATTGATCTTGTAGACATTCAAACTATAATTTGACATCAATGAAACGATTTAATCATCTGCAATCATTATGATCATTGTGTTCAATTCAATGAAAAGCTAAATTCTGAAATCCTATACTGAGAAATCCTAAACTATTTTTATTTATGAGTTTATTCAACCTTTATTTAAGACAACAGTATTAACTTTTTGAAATCTATTTTGCAATCTATTTAAGTTTTCATTATACATTTTTATATTCTACAAAATAGCATCCTTCAGAAAGTATATTTAATGAATTTTTGTTGATGAAAATGAAAATTTTTGTTTAGTTACTTCCATACAATAGCAAAAAACCTTAAGTTTTCATTTTGTCATCTCCACGGTCGTTTAAAAGCGCTATGTTTAGGTACGCATGCGTGAGAAATTGCGAAAAACTTTTGAACTTTTAAAATGGCTACGGTTCTTAACTACAGAGTATATTTTATATGGCAACCGTCCATTTGTTATTTGGTTTCTGAAAACTCAATGTTGTAGGCTTATTTTTAATGTAGATCAGTATATTATTACAAAATTTCACAAAAATATAATTAAGAAAAGGATAAAAAGTATCTTAGAGAACTTAAACTTTATTTTCAATTAACAACTTTTTAGTGTAACTCAGATTTGTTTATTTATTTAAAATCAATTTTCTTAAAATCTGACTGGTATGTTACATAAAAATTTAAATTATTTAATTACTAGATTATTTATCATTATATATCATTGGAAAGAGCTTTAGTATAGTATTTTAATGGTGAAAAAATTTTCAAAATCAAACCATTCGTTCAAAAGTTATGACGGTTTAAGCACCGATTTTTCGATATATGGATTTGTTGAAGAAACTGTGGTCAAAATTAAGTTCTTCTTTGCGTAAATTATTATAATTTTGTCAATTTTTATCAAAACATAGTCAGAAAAATAGTAAATAACAAAAAAATTAATGAAATTGCTCTAATATAAGGAAATAGTCATAACAGTATATAAGGAAATAGTCAAAACAGTAAAAACAAATTTTTATATTGAAAAAAAGTTGAAGCAATGACCAGAAAAATATCATGCATATAGAACATATTTATTTGAAGTTTAAAAAAAAATTATTGAAATCCTACAGTCAGATTTTTGGAAAATTAATTTTAAATAAATAAACAAATCTATGATTTACACTAAAAAGGTATTAAGTAAAAATAAAGTTTTAGCGCGCAAAGATTTTTGTTACCTCTATTTATTTATATTTTTGTGAAATTTTTGTATTATTATATTGATTTACGTTAAAAATAAGGCTATATCATTGGCTTTTCAGAAATTAATGAAGAAATAAACTGTTGCCATATAAAATATTCTATGTAGTTAAGAACCGTAGCCATTTTAAAAGTTCAAAAGTTTTTCGTATTTTCTTACGCACGCGTACCAAAACATAACGCTTTTTACTAATATCTAAACGACCGTGTATCTTGACTGTTAATGACGTCATAATTTTTTTTTGTTTGTTTGTTTGAATATGATGCGGTGACTCTCCTCACATTTCATACCTTGGTATACCATTAATTTCAATTTTCATTTTTGTAGTACCAATTTTTCAAATCGAGGAGCATTTTTGTCAAAAAATGTAAACTTGTTCTCAAACTCAATGTAACTTGTTCTTAAACCCTAAAATCTACTTTAACCTGTAATGATATTTTTCTATAATCATTTCCAACCCTATAATCTGTTTTAACGTGTTATAAATAAATAAATGCCACACGTACTTATATTTTGAAAAAAAGCAGTTAAAGAATCTTTTTTTTTCCCAATCGTTTGTATTGAAATTACGAAAATACTGTTGGTAGTGGACATAATTGTGTCCTCGCAACTGTACGTTTTACTATGATTACGCTCCACAATCCCATTTTCTAATGATTTATATGCACATCTAAACATCGTTTGTTCACACCATTTCTCAAATATATTTTCGAAAACTCATTCGATCAGAACACCGTTCCGTTGTCCATCAATCATTCTTCTGCTCTCATTCTTGAAGAAATGGTTATTATTACATCAATGGGTTTGCTTCCTTTCCATCTCCGATCCATGAACCGCTTGTTCGCTTTAAAACACTTTTTGGCAACGCGTTTAAGAGAGCATTTTTAATATCCGCAGCCGAGGCTTTCTTGCTTCCATCAAGTTACTCATTTAAGGTGGATGTGCTTCCTCGAGAAACAATAGAATTATCAAAGAGAAAGTGATCTTCTTTTTTAGTTCTCCGAATTGTTTTTTTATTAATAAAAAACATCATTTAAAAAAAAGATTTTTCAAATAATGTTTTTCATTTGCAAAATTAAAACAATAAGGTATTGCAACATCTTCCCAAGTGCTAAAGTTCAAATCTTCTCTAATTAAAGTCACGTACTCAGTTAAATGTACTAGTCTTTTTTATTTCTCTGCTAGGCTATCTAATAAACGGTGACACGTCAACGCCTAGTAGCTTCTATGCCATCATCTTCTTTATAATCATTAAACAAGCTATTAAAACTGTTTAATGAAAAAAAGCAATAATAAGAAAACTGGAACGGATGCTACTATAATAGAAAAGAATAAAACAAAAAACAGAAGAGAAACGAAAACGGCCTCTACCAGCAAAAAAATATTTTTTTAGTCGTCAATAATTATTTCAAAACTAAAGACAATATCAAGGAGAGAAATATACTCAAATCATGATTTTTTTATTTATATTTAAACAAGAGCTCTTATTTGATTTCAGAGAATAGCTTTTGTTTAGATCAGTGCAAAATTTCATAGAATTTTAGTGACTATTATTTTGATCATACCTACCCAGCTAGCACACATACTTTGTTAAAACATTAGATCGTTGTCGCGCGTTTCGTTGACCCAAATATGTTTATATGCAAACAAAATATTTAATAAGATTCATATATATTCATATATAAAGATACATGTGATCTTGTGATAAAATATGAAAATATATCACATTTAATTCAAATCAAATGCTTATTGAATAAAGAACAAATAAAAAACAAATAAAAGAACTAAAAATTGTTAGGCCATTTATAAAACGATCATTTATGCATCAATTGAAAGCTCATTATAAACTCAGCAAAAAATAAAGAAAACACAATTTATTAAAGTTTAATCGGTAACGAGAGGCAGGGCATTAAAAACCTAAAAGAGGGTAAAAGTGTAATATTTTTGTACGAAATTGTATTTTTCAATTAAATGTTCTTATGACACAAATAATTTTACTTTAATAAAAACTTAAAAAATTTTAAATAATACAAATTATTTAACTTTAATATTTAACAAACTTTTATAAACACAATGTTATAGATAAAAAATTACCACTTAAAATTTTATATAAACTTTAAAAATCCCGTTAAATTTAAATCTTTTGGTAAATTACAAATTTAACCCTCACAATCACCTCCACATTTGCAAAGTGCAGTATATGGAAGTAATGCTTTTACACATCTACAAAGACCTCTACTACCTTTCTATATTTGCAGCCATATCGTATAAGTTTACTGCACATTTTGGAAACTTCTGGAATTGTCGTCCAAACAATTTCGCAAATATTTGCCTTTCATAATCTAACCCCATCTACATGGATTTGCAATGATGAATTCTTACACAATGATTGTGCACAGAAATACGAAGCCGAGTAAATAGCTCTAGAGATATGCAGTTGCAAAGTGTCTTGTGTATGGGAAAATTATTGAATGCAGAAAAAAATTATTTGGAAAATAATTTTTTTCTGCATTCAATTACCCTACTGTAAGAACTTGTTGGGTCATATAGTAACACAACAAATCTTTCAATTAAGTGGAAAATATTGATGAAATCTTCCTTTGAGGGAGAACTTCCCCCAAGTTTTTCAGAAAAGTTTTTTTATTTTTCGAGCAAAAAATGAAACTTGATAGCAATTTGTCATTGCTTGAAATAGACATTAACATTTCTGTTTTGGACCAAGACATTTTACAAGATTCTACAGTGAAATGAAGCTTTGGTTTTCACCAGTACCAAATCATATCCATAATTCTTCTAAATGTAGCTTATGAAAAAGTCTTAAACCGAAAATTAGAAAACTATATTCATTTGATTTTTAATAAAAATTATTTTCATGACATGAAACATTTTCTGACTTAAAGATAATCTAAAGTATAAATATTTAATTTTTACAAATGACAACAACATCAGTATCTAAAATTCTGATCAGGGCTTTTTGAGTCCACTATTTTTAGCAGCATCATATGGGTGAAGAAATATACGATTGTCTGCTTCTTCATATTTTCAAGACTCAAGATTGGATTTGTTGATATTTTGGTTTGATATCACTGAGTCCTCATATGTCACAACAATCAATCTATCTGTTTGAAGAAAAGATACTGTTGTATGTTGCCTGAACCAAAGATGCCAATCGCTTGGAATCTTTGATTCGGGCAACACACGATGACAAATACCTTGTCCTCTTTTGACTCTTACTGATTCTCTGCATAAACGTCCCAAATAATATCAACACTTGCATACGATTGTAACTGTTCCAAAATTAAATTCTGGAAAACCTTGGTTGAATAATCTTTGAAAGTTTCATAATATTTGGATGATAAAATATTTACAACTACAGCTCAACTATGGGTTTATCCTTAAGTGCGCTGTGCAAATCATTGAAACAAGTTAAAAGATCTGATTTATTTCCACTTCGTAACAATCCATCTTTTGAAAAAGACGGTGGAAAATTGTGGTTTTTATGAGCGAAAAAACTTGTTAAGGTTGCCGTTTCAGATCTGGCAGGAAAGGTATAGTTTTAAAAACAATTGGCAGTTCTTTTTGAGCGCTGATATTTGCGATTGATCGTTTAACTTCCTTTTTGTAATGAAGTAACTAAAAGGGGTTGCTTATTTTGTTTTAATGGATTGAATATAGACTCCTTACACTTGACTCCTTTATTCTCATTTGGAAAAGATGGTTGAATGTTTTTTCTTCAAAATTCTCAATTGAATTATCATCATACTTGGCTATTTGGACCCAAATTTGATACATGTTTGTGGTTCTCTCTCATATTTATGACAATGTAAAAAAAACTTGTTGTTGCTAATTCATTGACTTATAAATTAGTAATGATGATTGTAGAGAAAAAAATATTTGAGTTGACTTCAGTCCCCTTTTTTTTAAGGGGTCAAGGCTGGGTTCAAGCAGCCCCTGTTGTCGGGCTTCTTGAACCCATAGTCTAAAAAGTGTTATATTCTGTATTGTTTTTTATTTTGTGAGTCGAAATTAAGTTACTTGAACCCATAGTGTAAAAATATTTTTTTAGTTTTTATTGAATGTCACAAAAATACAATACAAAGAAAAACAATTTAAACGAATTAATACTGCAAATAATGTTAACACAAAAGCACGAAGTATACGCAAAAAGTGTATAACAATAGCTTTAAGAAACCATTAAAACATTATTTAGGTATTTATCTTATTTTTTAATTGGTATTACAAGCTAGCAAAGAGTATTAAAGTCAAAAAGTTTAACCAAACAAAGATGAATTATGGCAATTTTTGTAATAAAAAAAACTTCATCAATAATACTATAATATACAATAACAATATATTTTGTGTTACAGATGTTACAAAAACACAGGTCATTGCAAATAGTGATTCACTGAATTCAAAGCGCAATGACCAAAATAAGATAAAAAATAGTAATAACAACAATAATATGTAATAAGTAAAACTACATAAAAAAGTAGGTTATAAAAGGAAGTTAAGTTAAATAAGTTAACATAATATTAACTAATAAAAGTAAAATTTCATCAAAACTTATTTAATTATACCAAAAAAGACTTTTTGAATATATATATAATATAATTAATATAATGTATATTTATATATGCACATATACTTAAACAAAAATTATAATAAAATATGTAAATTATAATAAAAATAATTATTTAAAATAAAATATTAAAAATAAAATTATAATAAAATAATAAAATATAATAAAAATAAAAAAATAAGTCAAAAGGTAGGAAATAAATAATTAAAAAGTAAAGTTAAGCGTAACCTTTTAGGTAAAAACGATGGAGTGACTTAAAGAACAGATTTTTGAACCTAAGGATGAGACCTGATTTTAGGGTGTTCGGAAGGGAGTTCCAAGAAAGGACACACTGGTATGTAATGGAATTAATTCCATGTTTACTTGTCTGTTTTAGTGGGAGAGTTAAGTTGTTATAAGAGACTGATCTTAGGTTATGCCCACATGTTGTTTTATTATTAAAGTAGTTGTGAAATACAGTACGAAGGACACCATGTTGTTGATCCCTGACAAATGAACAATTTAAGAACTGAATTAAGTCATAGAAACGAAGAATTTTTGATGTAAGATATAGGATGTCAGTAGGAAAATTTTTTTGGACAAAAACGAATAATCCGTACCACTCTATTTTGAAGTGAAACAACTCTAGAGAGACATACGGTTTTAGATTGTTCCCTAAACTTGACATGTGTATCGTAAATGTGAACCAAAAATTGAGTGATATATAGAAAGCAATTTTTCAAAGTTAACTTGATGTTGAACTTTTGTTAACATGTCGTTGGAACGGCTTAACTTCAGAGTAAGGTCGGATATGTGTGTTTTGAATGAAAGTTTTCCATCTAACACAACACCAAGATAAGTTATGTTACTAGACAAGTACATTTTTTGACTACTTAATCGAAAGTTCAAGTATTTTGGAACATTTTTCGCAGTTATTTTAGAAAAGAGGACCTATATAGATCCCTGAGGTATACCAATTGAAATGTTTTTAATATCTGAGCTAGTTCCATTTATATTTACAAGCTGTTGACGATCAGAAAGGTATGATTTGAACCACTGCAAGGATATGCCACGTACACCATAGTAGTTAAGCTTTGAGAGAAGAATTTCATGATCTACGGTGTCAAAAGCTTTTTGCAAATCGACAAAAACCCCACAAGCAAAGTTGCCATTATCAAGAGCAACTCTTATACATTCTGTAATTTTAATAAGAGCGTGAGCTGTCGAATACTTTTTACGAAAACCAAATTGTTGTTTATACAAGCATTGATTTTGGTTTAGAAAGTTGTATAGTTTATTATGCATAAATTTTTTAAATATTTTACTTACATTAGAAAGAAGATATATTGGACGATAGTTAGTGCAGTCAATTGTAGATCCTTTTTTGTGAGTTGGAATAATTTGAGATAGCTTAAAGGCATCGGGAAATGTTCCTTTGAGAAATGAATTGTTTAAAATGAAACTAATTGGTTTACATAGAGTTCCTGACACCAGTTTAAAAAGTTTTGTTGTAAGACTGTTTGGTCCAACACTCCTCCCTTCTATAATAGTGGAATTTATATAATCAAGAGTTTTCTCTTTCGTTATTGGTTGCATATAAAAAGAGTTGCTTGTTGGATTGGTCAGGTATCATGATAGTTGAATTTAGAATTCGGAATTTCGTAGGATAATTTTGAAGCAATTGTGGTAAAGAAGTTATTAAAATAGTTTGTTTTGGGATTGGTTTCGCATTTGTTGTTAACGAGTATGCTTATTAGGGAATTACTATTATTTTATTTAACATTTATCAACTTTTTTATAACTTTCCAGGTGTTTTTTATGCTATTGATGTTGTGGCTAAAAAAATTGTGTAATATTTCTTTTTGCTAAACTTTAGAAGATTGCTTATACTATTACGATAGTGTTTAAATTTTTTAAAAAATATATTTTTTATTCTACAGTTTTTTGATTTTAATTATTTTTTGTGAAGTTTATTTTTAAAAGTTATTGACTTGAGAATGCTTTTCGTTACCCAAAGTTGATTACGTTTAACTACTTGATTTTTTGTTAACTTTTTATAAGGAGCATGCTTGTTTGAGATATGATCAAATATTTCAAATAATGCTTTAATAGAACCGTTAACATCACTGTCGTCTTTTATATGGTCATCCCATTCAACATTTGAAATTTCTTGGATAAATTCAGCTATTTAAAATTTTCAAAGCACCGCCCAACAATAGGTTCAAATGAAGTTTAAGTTTTGGTATGTAAAGTTAACATAAACTGAACAAGATTATCAAATATTGAAGCGGTAAGGTTGCCTGAAATTATTTCAGACGAATAAAAGTTTAAAAAAATATTATCAATTATTGTCTTAGAATGTGTGGTTATGGGTGTAGGCTGTATAATAAAAAGAAAATGAGAATTTGATACCATTGATTCTAAAAAATAAGATACCTCATTGGAGGTATTGTATTTGAGCAAGTCAAAGTTAAAATCTCCCATTAGCATAAACTTTTTTTTGTCTAAGCTAATTTTCTCAAGAAGTGAATTTAGGTAGTAATCAACGAATTCAGTTGGACACATTGATGGATAGCAATATAAACAACCCACTATTAGACTGCTTTTTCTTAAATTTATAACTTCAATAAATATAAAAGTTATAAATTTAAAGATCTTTACTTTTAAGCAGGACTAATTTAGATCTAATTTTAAAATTTAAGTTAGATATAATATTTATTAAAACACCACCTTTTTTAGCTTTAGTTGGCGTGTGACATATCCTTACATTCAATAATATCCATACATATCCTTCTAATTCAACGTTAGTTATAGAGAGATCGTTATCGTACAAGTTAGATTCAGTAACCCCAATGATATCAGGTAAATTATCAAAAGATGCTAATAGTATTTTAAAGTCGTCAATATGGTAAGGTAATAAAGATATCTTTGAATGGAAATAACTTAAAGAATTTTGGGACAATTTATTGTACATCGAAAAATCTACATATTCACAGTTAATTTTATTATTATTATTATTATTACTATTAATATTATTATAGTTGTAGCCGTAAATTTACATAGAATGTACACATACAGCGAGCAGGGAAAACACTCCACTATAAACAACCAGTTTTATAAATATTTGTTCCAAACTTATTCCACAACCAGGAGTCTAGTCTATTTTTGAAGGAAAGCACAGTGGAGTACAAAGTTATTTGCTCTGGTAGTTCGTTCCAGTATTTTACTGATCTATTATACAAATGATTATATCTTGGAAGACACTTTGGAACATACTCACGCATTATTTTGGAATGGTAACCACGAGACATGGAGTTAATAAATTAATAAATTGAAGTGTAAGATAAGTCATTGAGGTCCCCAAAAAGTTTTTTTAAATTTGTATTTTCAGATTTTTTACATTGTTGAATTTCAGTGACTTTCCTGCAAGTATGGTAGATAACTCAAGATCCGAAATGTTAGAGAATAGAAGAAATGTTTTTGTACAGATTAGGCAATACCAATTATTTAAAGTTTTGATTTTTTCATATGTTAGTTTGTCAATTCGATTTTATGTGTATCCGTTTGTCACATAGGTCATATTGAATTGCTGAATGATTTTTAGCAACCGCCTTAAAGCATATGCCGCATGGTTGTTTCACTACCATCATTAAAAAGTAAAATAGAATAAACAAAAGATGCTAAGAAGAAGAAGAAGAAAAAAAGATATAACAATAATAATTAAAAATAAGTTTAACAACAATAATTAAAAATGAGTATAAATATAATAATTAAAAATAAGTAACAGTTAAAATATATTTATATATCAAAACTAGATTAAATTAAGTTATTTATAAAATAATAAAAAATATATTAACTAACTGCGATTAACATAAATGAAAATGATATACAGATAAATCAGAATAAATAATATATAAATAATAATATAGTTATAGATAATAATATAGCTATATACAAATAATTCTAGATTAAATGATATAGCATAATAATATAGTATAATAATATAGTTTAAAGTAAATCAAAACTAACTTTTACATTTGAAGTAAGTTTTCAAAAAAAAAAAAAAAAAAAAAAAAAAAATTAATATTAGATCAAAATAAAACATGACACATCTCTGTTTTTATATTATTAAACAAGAGATATTAACAGAAATTCAATAAAAGTACACTTGATTTTATTGTTTATACCAAAAAGTACATGAAACTATTCACAAAATTTGTAAATACGGAATACATTTTATTTAAGGTTTTTTAAAATTTTTCAAGAGCAAACATATTTTTTTTCTTCTGGAGTATATAATGTACAGGGGCGGATATAGGATTTATTTTTCCTTTGGCGATTTTTTTTTTAATATTACCGCCCCCCACCCCCATTTTTTTGTTGATGTTATTAAGGTGCTGTAAGAAGTCCTAATGGCCTTATCACAGAGCACCGCCACAAAGACAATAACATTTGTAACTTGGCTCTCCGTTTCCAACTTACCGATAACCTTTATGTGCTTCGAGTAGAGATCGAACTCGCAACCCTTAGATTACGAATCCAATGCTCTAACTACTGAGCCACGATTGATATAACACAATCCATCCCAGACAGTGGTACTCTCTAATACCAAATAAGCCTCCCTTCCCCATTTACTATTTGTCAACTCTATACTAACTCGGATTTATATTTTCAAAAGGTTTTTATTTGACACCAGGGGGGCTCCCCCTATGTATTCACCCCATTTGCACGATTTGGATTTTTTTTTTGTGATTAAGACTCGGTGTTTGCAGCCTTTTATAAAAATAAGAACGCATTTTCAAAAACAAAAAAATTTTTTATTGCTAAACTGGTTAAGACAATATAAGTCTAAAATTCAAGCAAAAATTAACTTAAAATCGCTCCCTCCCAAACTATTGTTTTTTTTATTGTTTTTGGATTTTTTTTTATAAATATAAACTTGATTCTGGTCATTATCTTTTACATGAAACATATGCAAAATTTAATAAAAAATTATACCTATACTAGCTATTCTTAATATGGTTTATGTACTCGATGTCAACTAAAAATAAAAAAAGGAATTTGGAAATTCAAAATTAATCTGAATATTCTTGGTGATGTTCAGATTAATCTGCATCAGCTTAATCAGCCAAATATATCACAATCTGTATCGGCAACTAGCACCAGCCCTTTTTATTGATTTGCTAATTTTTATTAGCCAATTCGAAGAATACAAACCATTGAAAACAAATAGTAGATTAACTATGATTTTATTAATACATTTAAAAAAATTTGATTTATTGAGTAATAAATAAATTCAGACAAAAAAAAAAAATCTAAAGAAATCAAATTTCTGACCATTTATCTCTCACAGTACAACGGGTGAGAATGTATCTGTCTGGAAGGTATTTGTTTAAAGCACATGAACCACGTCAAGGTTCCTTCCTATTCATGTGTACGATTTTTTTTGCAGAACGACTGAAGGTGTATGACAGAAAAATACACAATCAATTAGCAAACTGCTTTTCCTTGCACATTTTCATTCATTGATTAACAGGAAACTTAATCATAAAGGATAAAGAGTATTATGACAATAAAATAAAGTAGTTTTTAAACATTCATAAAGTTTTTAAAAAATATTTCATGATTTGAAATTACACTTTAAATGTTGATAAAGTCCTCCTAGTGATTGAGTAAAGATAAAAACTGTTCTGTAATTAAGGATTAAGATAAGAAAAATTCCAGTTGTTAAAAATCACTTAAAAATTTACACAAACCGTCTAAATCACAAGCCTGAAATTGTAGTTGCAATTTTGAACAACAAAAAATAAAAATGTGCTAGTTATTTAGTAATATTGTTCAGGAGAGTTCCTTGAACAATTATACTAATAATAACAATATAACAATTTTAACAATATAACAATTTTAACAATATAAAAATTTTAACAATAAAACAATTTTAACAATATAACAATTTTTTCTAAAACAAAAATCCCCTCAGAAAGTAAACTGCTAATTTAATGAAATAAAAATTAGGATAAATAATATATTGTACTGAACTGTTTCAACCAGAAAGGTTTTCCATAACTCTTTATTTACTAATATATTTAAATGTTTTAATCTTTATCTTCACTAATTTTGGATTTTAAGGTTGAAAATTATATTTATGGCCAAATGTATTTTTAGGCAATAAAATATATGTTTTTATCCTACATACAAATGAATGCAATACACTTTTAGTGTCAATTAGATTGACACTAAAAGTGTATTTAACTTGTTATTAAAAGATTTAACTTGTGATTATAGATTATAGTGATTATAGTAGACGAAACGAAGTCATATTCACAGAGATTTTAAGTGATTTATATGCTTTAGTCAACAGTCTTTAAACTATTAAAATTGTGTAAAAATGTTTACGAATAAACCGAGTCACAGAGACTTTGACTTATTTGTACAGAAACATAGCCATTTCTTTGCATTAACATTTTGATAACTTCTTGATTATCTGGAACTATATCTCTATGTGTATACATCAATGTTAAACCAAACGATCTCCAGACATAGTTGACCAGGTTTTGAATCTTGACCAGGTTTTGAATCTGTGAAGATTTAAAATAGATCTTTCATAAGAACACGATGTCACAGGTGAAGTTGCTAATAACTGCAAACAAACAAAAATATTGGCAAAAGTTTTTATACATGAAATTGACTTTATAGTATCAGACACATTGTTTGGAATGGGATAATTAGTAGTCCAGTATACCTCCCAAAGCCCACACTCTGCATCTAAAGCTAATGGATTTGACAAATCTTCATAATAAAAATCAGAAAAAATCTTGAAGCTTTCCCTCCAATCTTAGTCACTATATGTTTTTT